TACCTGGAAACCAATCCGCTGCATGACAAAGCTTACTACCTAATGACGGCAATAGAACCACATCATCCACAAAAAGCAAGCAAGAATACAAACCCAGCTCTTACTTTGGTTAGACTAGGGCTGGATAGTTTGTAGCAATGGCCCCAGTACCCCTTGTCATTACAGAACCCCCCCGCCACAGGGTTGTAGGCTTTCTAAAAGTTAAGCACTAGTGTGGATGCTCAAACTCCCGTGACCAACTCCACAAAGGTAAAGAGCTGTTCCAGTTTTTTCGCTTTACCCTTGGACCAGCCATGCTGCTCTCATAGCTAAGAAAAAAACACTATTGCTGAAAAATTGCTTCATGAATATGCAGGTGTGATATTTTGAGACGCTCAGCTCTCAAAATATTGAGTGTCTGTATCTGCTCTGAGCCCCTGCTGAGTGATTGACAAATTATTGATAATCTTCCTCTCAGAAAGGCTACATTCAAATGTCAGGCTTAATTTTTTCAATCGGTAGAATAACAGAGGAGTTCAGTATAACTACCATCATCAGAGACAGCCTGTCAATCAAAACACATTTTCTTTGAACAGAATTTGAAGCATTTCAAGGCTTAAGAGAGCGTAATGTGAGTGCTGTAGCTTCACCTGGATGTGTTGTGGGATTATGTACATGTATATACCGGTCCATAGGAAACGACCGTTGGAGCATGTTGTCGTAGATTATTCACGTCATGGAGGGAATGCGTCATCGGACTTGTTCATTAATCACATCACTGAGCACAGGGGGAATACATGGGAAGCTGCTTGAGATAGTAACACGTTACAGTGGAACACGTTTTCAAGCAGAGAAACATAATGCGCACTCATGAAGTGAAACATGTAAACTATAGGGCCTAAAAATAAAACATTTATTTTTGTGCACAGACTTTTCATTTATTGCCTCTGATATCCCTTCTTTTTCATAAAAAAAATATTTAGAAAAACACATCAGTGAAACACACTTTTGCACTACGTTCTGCTTCACTAAGATAAACATGATTACTGTGGTTCATTTTGAGTCAATCACACATGTTGGTCTCACTGAAAATGCTCACCCTGCTGTGTCTTTTAAGAATATATATATACATAATATCACATCACTTTTCTTAACTGTTTACATGAGAGTTATATGGAGGTCTGTCCATTAGTTTGAATGAAAGACAGCAAATACTTCTTTTGTAAAAATGTGAAAGTATCAAAGAAGAACTTTTGATGGAGGAATTCCTCGTTGCCATAGGCTAAGCCTCCCTGCTGATTGGTGGTTTAACATGGTTAAGTTATTCACAATAGTTGGCAGTAATTAAACTAATCTAAACTTTCTGTTATCCAGTATGGATGTTACTGTTTAAGTCAGAGCAACATCAAAATGGTAAAATTAGACTAATGGTATACACCAGTAACAAGTTTATATTAATCCAAATGACTCACCACAGAGGCTTCCTCCTGCAACCCAGGGAGGAAAAAATCTTTTTCAAGATGTCAGATCGATTTAATTACTTTGTAAAATTGTTCACTTAAGCATTCTTCTTGTGTACATATTATATAGATATTCAAAATATACATGTTTTAAAAGACAATAGTTTTACCACAGTTCACATTATTTTGTTTTTTTGGGACACTATTTTGTGTGTGTGTGTGTTTTTTTTAAATGACCAAATTAATCTGCAACTAGCGTAAAATTATTTGTAGTTTCAGCAGAAAAAAAATGAGCTTCAACATGAGTTACATCCAATTTTCAGCCTAATTTTGAGAAATAAAATGAATAAAATACAAATACAAGGAGTTGTTTGGAGATAAACATTTACTGTCTCCTGGAAAAATCTAGATCATTGCCAACCCTTATTTATAACCCACTGAGAAAAAAAAAATTGTATCTAAAGACAGCTGCACACCATTCTTCTCCCTACCATTAAAATTAGTGCAAGACCACTAGAGGTTCCTATTAATACAACACACACACACAGTTTTGTGCTGTAAAGACGTGGGCGGTTGTTCATCACCAGCTGTGGCTGCAGGTGTCTATCAATGATAAAACACCTGCAGGCCTTTAATCACTAGTTGCCTCATTGGTTTGTACCATTCAGGCCATTATTTTTGGAGATATGGCCTGCTGTTTTCTCTGTATCGATAGGGAGGGGCGGTTATGTACCAGAGACAGTCGTCAAAGACACTGACATCAATTCACATTGAAGGAGACGTTGAAGCTGCACGTGCTCCCCTGAAAGCCTGAATGTCATTGAAGGCTCCTGTCTTGGCAAGCAACCACAAAGTCTAAACTCACCTGCTTCATTCTACGGTTCATGTCCTCTATAAACTGCTGCATATGGAACAGCTGAGATGTAATTAGATTTAACAGCGATGGATAGTTATTGGTGTATTGTTGCAGATAACTGGCATCTGTGTGGAGAGTGATGAATGAGGGGGTGTTGCTGTATGTTTGAGAATGCAGGACTGCAGGTAGCAGGTGTGGATGACAGCATGGAGCTGATCTAAGCCCTTGTCACACCTGACAACAACATGGCTGAGTCGATCACAATTGGACCGCTCTAAGTACATGAGTTCACACCTGACATCGGAACACGTCTCCAAATAACCACTTGTGATTGAAAGTACCTCCCCACTCTATATGCAAATAAACATGTACATCATTTCTCTTTGCACCGGCCAAATGCCTGGTTCAGATTTGACCTTTGAGTGGTAACTATGCACGACAGTAAAAAAAACTTGATTATTCTCCTTTGTGGACGAACACAAGGACAGCTGTGGAATATTATGCATTCCATGAATCTGCAAGGGTACATGGGACAAACTTTCAACATCCACTCAAATTTAAAACTGCAGACGTTTGCATGCAGGCCAGAATGTTTGACCTTGTGCACTGTCCGCACTGCAAGCATGCTAACTTTACATGTGTCTACAGTGGCTCCACAAGATGGTGAAAACCTGTACTGCCTACATGCATGTCAGAAAATGTGTTGTAGATTAGCTTTAGTACCTGGTTGTTACACCTATTTTAAATAATGTAACAGCCTCAGCAGGTGGCCACTTGGACTGTGGGCAGTTCCATGTTGGCAAACAAAGAGCATTGTAGGGGTTTAGCTATAGGAGCAAGAACCATGACAACGACTACTGTGATGTTTAATGGCCTCCAGTCAGAGGTGTTGCATTATATGAGGTGTGCCAGAAAAGTTCCAGGACTGGTGTCACAAAAGAGATATTTCAAACCCAAACTACAAACCACGAGTTTCCCTTTCAGACGATCAACCAGCACGTCTACAAAGAGATCCTGCGGTGTTTGCTTCGTTCAATGCGCAAGAAGAGGGGAGAGTTGTGGCAGGACAAGTCCTGGGAAAGTGTGTTAGACTCCAGGGGGATTACTTCGAAAAGGAAAACTTGTAGATTGTATTTGAAATATATCTTTTGTGACACACCTCATATGATCTACACAAAGGATATAGTACTTAGATTAGTGCTGATACCAATAACCAAAAAAATAAAGAATGACAATGACTTAGGATATCCCTTGTCAAGACTTATTATCATGAACAGTATAACTTTACAGAGAGAAACTCAACACATTCAAACCTTTGAGTGGCAGTTGGCTGCAGTGGGAAGAAAAAAAAAAACTCCCTCTCAACAAGAAAGATCCAGTCTCCAGGAGTGCATCTGCTTATACAGAGGATGTCCTTCAGTGTGACCCAGGACAAATTCTTGCACGTGATGCTAAAGTATGTGTCCATATGTGGTTCAGACCACCTCCAAATGTGGTCCGAATGAGTAGATCTCAGCGTATACTAAATGCATTAACACCTGTACTTGGAGCTGTGCACTTGTGATTGGATTACTCAGGATGCAGGTTGCCTTTAATGCCAGGTGTTAACAGAACCGTACTGAGGCAGTTACACTACATGCTGTGATTGTCAATATCAGAAATGGTTGGAAAAGGAAAAACTGCAAGCAAACATGTGTACAGGTCTACTGTCAACACAAACGGGCTTTATAAATTCAGCTGGTCATTTCAAGATCTCAGAATGATTCCAGAATAGTCTTCTATTGTTGTTTGTGAGTCCACTGCTTTTGTACACAACTACTGAACAAACAGAAACAGCGCTATCAGGGAAGGTGGAGCAACAAATCCCTCCCATATGTGTTTCTCCACTGAAACTAATGAATTGAAAGTAATTTAATGGAGCAGTGCACAAAAGAGACAGAAATAGTGCCAGGATTTTCCTCTGAACAGAGTGGCTGAAAATAGTGGTGAATTTCTTCATGCATTGAAAACCTACAGTAAGTGGTTTTACAGAAGCACAAAGCTTTTATAGGCACGAAATGTATTTCTTTTTTTTTAGCTGTAAAATGTATTTTAATAAATTTTCTGAAAACTTAAATAAGATGGAAACCACAGCTGATTGCTTTGTCATGCAGTATAATTTTATTACAAAAAAGTTGTTTATTTATTTATTTTTTATCAAATTTAACTGCATAATGGCAATGAGTCTCATATGTATCCCGTAAGCTTTACCCTCCATGTTATATGCAGCAGGGGATGACTCGGCACATCATGTATCACTCACACAAACGGAAGCTAACATTCATTTTAGCACCATTCCTTTTCAAGAATGTTGATCACAAACCCATAAATAACATATTAACAATATAAGTGTCATCTTAATAAATACACCTATAGTACACAAAGCCAGAAATGAAATCAACAGCATTTCCACCAAACACAAAAGGACACTTAATTAAGATTTATTTAGCAACAACTAGAATGAAAAGATGGGGGGGAAGAGATACCAGTAAATGCTGGAGTGTTTAATATTCTTATGACAGTATATATTGTATTTTTAGTACACTTTATCATCTTTGGATTGAATCAGAAGGACTGGCTGGGTGGTTCTGTTGCTTTCAATAAAACAATTTTTAAAAATGTTTGCAGTCAAATGATACATTTGTCACGTTATGACCCTGCTAGGATCAGTTGCTGAAACAGAAATCTTCCACGTTGTTGAGTTTGATCGTCTGTAACTCCTGACTGTCGAGTAGCCTGTAGCTGAAGGACACTCGGTTGACGAACTTCCCGCTGGACACCATCCTCACCACCGTGTTGTCACAGCCGATCTTCATGTGGGCTGCAACGGAAAAGGAGGAGAAGTATTAACCAGGAGGTCTATTTCATGAAGAGGGATGGCTTAGATCAGTGTGTACTCACTGGGTCCAGTGAAGGAGATGCACAGGTCTGTGATGGGCAGCAGCTTTGACGTATCGATGCCATTTCCTCCCAGAAGCTGCACAAAATCCCCAGTTTCTGCACATCCAGGCATGGACCTCTGTGGAAATCAACATAATGTTAAACAAACACTTTGCATCAACCAGTTTATCACACTAATTGATTTAATTTGCCAGACTAAAAAAAATTGATCAAATGCTTGTATTTGTGTCCTGTGGATTAAAACTTTTTTTTTTTTTTTTTTTTTTACATTTTCCTGACACTTTCCTAGAAACCTCTTGTACACTGTAACATGCAAAAACTGTTACAAAACAAAACAAAACAAACAAACAAAAAACAGCAAATACAATGAAACAGTTTTGTTTTATGCTCACATGTTGTTAAAGAACAAATAACTATTTGTAAAACTACAGATTTTTGCTGTGGACGTGAGTTAGGTTTTGCCTGTTTTTGTCAACATATAAATTAATATTTTTTATCAAGGAATTTTATGACATATTATCTAGTAATTTAACAAAACAATATCTGTAAAATAATTATATATATATATATATAGGCAAATAATATATATATATATATATATATATATATATATATAATTTGCTGATTAAATTACTGTTAAAAATTGTAATTTCATGGTTAAACAAAAAACAAATTAAAATTGTAAAAATACAGATTTTTGAAGTGAATGTTTTAAAATAAATATCATGTACAATACTATTTTTTCTGTAATTTACTAGTTATTATCGTTAGCTTACCAAACAGGGAAACTTTTTTAAATAACATTTATTATTATTATTATTAGTAGTAGTAGTAGTAGTATTAGTATTATTGTTGTTGTTGTTGTTGTTGTTACTACTACTAATAATAATAAAATTAAAAATAGTTTTTGTTTTGTATTTTCTTGTACAGTGTACTCAGCTAAAATAACCTTTTCACAACAGACTATTTAACGTGTTATAGCAAAAAACATCTGGTGAAACACATTAAATCAGCCACAGCTCAGGTCCAAGCTGGACCTCCTCTGAAGCCCTTTGGGACACATAAAGCTTTCTGTGATTCTCAGTGACAATCATGGTGTAAACACGGATATTTGGATGATAATATTTCCTAATAAGCACTAAACAAAAAGTACAGCTGAGGGAGGGTCATTTGCTGCATGTACATTTGGTCATGAACCGAGGTGTTGCACAAATTACAGCTGCTGGTGGTGGTAGAGGAGAAGTCAGAGGACCGCATCAGAGGAGATTATTCTTCACCCTAGTCACTTTTTTCTTTGTTTTTATCTACATTGCTGAAATGACAAATTTTCACCTTCAGGTTAAAAATGCGAACAAATGTTTTGGCAATTCATCCAAGAGTCACTGAGATATTTCCGTCCAAAGCGGTGAACCAACAGACCAACATTTCTAGAACCTTGGCTTCTAGTACGACTACAAACATGATTCATATCTGATCCAGTGAAACACAACTTTTATTACCAGTAGATCAGATCCTTTAAATGTCCCAGAAATGTAAGTGTCCTCTACAGTCTTTTACTTAACGTTGTTGACTTCATCCACATGTTAAAGCATTCTGTCATTTGGATGTCGGTCACTGTAACACTGCTGCTCCTTACGCTTTCATTCAGACACACCGAACACACTGACAGACTGAGCCACGGTACATTCGTGATGTTTTCCATACATGCTAGAGACAATACATCGTAAACTTGTACAAGTCGATCTGTTACTTCGACTGCATGAAACATAGACTCATGTCATGTTGAAAGTGAAACACTGTCACTTGTTTGAAGAGCTTCAGATGAGCTATGAGGTGGTTTGATGCCCTTGGAGCGTTGTACAAAGTGTTAAGGACCATTACATTGCAACCATTTGTCCATTACAGAGGGATGAACTGTTTTCTGGTCCGTAGCAAGGTCAGGTTTTAAGTTGAACTGGTTCACATGTTAGCAAATAGCTGCATTTTTACAATCCAGCAGGGCAATTTGGAGTTTTCGTTCACCTGTTGAATGCCAGTCCAATATTCACTCGCCTCTGAGCTCTGTTTTGGTCTCCACCAACGTCTGACAGAAATATCTCTCTCTTAAGCAGCTCAGTGTTCGACAGAGCTCTCAAGCTATTCACCACCTGTGTCTGCCTGATGTTGTGTAACACACAGAGCAGTCTGTCATCTGTGGCTGAACCAAAACTGTAAAGTTGTTATGCAGGAAAATCTAAACTGCGAGCTCAAAGATGTTTAAATACTCTGAACACCTGAGAGGAACAGCAAAGTCAGGTGTTCATTCCTCACTTGCAGGTGTTTGGAGGGTGACTATGCACATTAAGCACGATCGGTCCTTGTTACCTTTTTTGACAGAAGTTTATGCATTTTCTTGTTTTTTTGGTTTTGTTTTTTTTTAATCATTTGATGAACACAAATGTCTACTTTGGTTGAGTAAATGAAACCCCAATAAGCTGTTTAATATTTTTTCCCTCAGTTCATATCCTGCTGATGTTTGTGATTTAGCTTGTAGGTGCCAGAATTTCTCTGTGCAGGAGAAACTCTGACTTTTGCTATCATGTGACCCACCATTAATATAAAAGAATATAATATTATGTTGCTTCAACAAAAGTAGACCACAGCCAACAGGATCATTTTAGGAGGTCCTATAAATGAATGCTTTTGCCTGGCAGGAACTTAAAGACTTTTAATTTTTGCTAAATTAATCCTTTCAAACTGTAAAGCTAAGAGCTCATCACAGCACAAGACCTGTACGTACCAACAAGGTTTTAAAGGCTTGGTTCACTCAAATCAGTAGGAAACATTATTTCACTGAGGCACTTGTTTACCTATTGTCATTTTTCACTGCTTTAAATGTTCTGAACAAGTTTAAATTCGTCTCCACTGTAGATTGCACTGGACTTAGTGCCTGCTGAGGCAACATGTTGAGGCGAAGAATCGAGAGCGCTGAGGCGACACTAAAGTGTGTTTAATGACTTTGTTCACCTTGGGGAAGTTGTTGTAGTGTCCCAGGCTGAACTCTGAGATGTCGATCTCCACTGGATATATGATGGAGAAGCTGCAGTTTCTGTGCTGCTGCGGGATCACCATTGTGTAACTGCCCTCTGGTGACTGGGAGATGACATTACAGGCTGCAGAGAGACCAGGAGGCTCGTTTAAAGCATGACGGATCCTCAGAGGCAGAGGAACATACAGATATGGGTGATTTACATACAAATGAGGGGTAGAACACATGCGCTGACAAACATGAAGCATCCGTCTACATTGTTAGTCAGAAGGTGAATTAATTAAATGATCTTCTGTGTTAAGAAGGGAGGATTTCTTTGCTTTTTATGACTCTTCTGATTTGTACAGATCAGATAAGAGTTAGCTTCAGAGTTATCAGGCTAATTTTGGTATCAACAAAATTAATAATTTTAAAGTCATCAGGGTGACAAACATCTAAATCAACTAATTCTGGGTTGAGTGCAGCCTTTACATTTGTCCTTTCCTTACATGTTACTTCAAGACAACATTTGCAGGCTGTTTATAGACAAAGTGACGACAAACTGCCCCCCGTTAGTGCAGCTGATGAGCAAAGCCCCCCCTGCCAGGCTTCGACTATCACCACCTCAATCACACATTAATTGCTGCAGAAATGGGTTGACAGCTGAAATGGTTATATTTGTGTGCGTGTATGATTGATTGACTGTGATTATCCACTTACGGAAGGGGTTGATGTGTTTCCTGACTGTCAGCGTGAAGCTGCTGCCGGCGTTGTGGATGCGGAAGAAGACCATGGCCACGTTCTGAGAGGAGCGCACGCTTTTCCTCAGTGATCCCGAGTCGCAGTAGTCCACGTAGCGCTCGTGCACAGGCAGCGCGTGATCCTGGGAGCTGGGGAACTTCTGTCCTTTCATCACCCAGCCGTCAAACACCTTCACGGGACACGAAAAGAGAGAGATGCTGTCAGTAGGATTTAATACCCAGTCATCCAAGAACGTGAACAAAATTCTCCGAACCCCAAAACCTGCTTGTGTGTTTGAAAGGCATGTTATCTTTAAAAAATAGGCAAAATTACACATTTTGTTGTGAAAACACTTTGAAAGAAAGAAAAGAGTCTGGCTGTCAACCTTCTGATGGTTCTTGAACTAATCTGCACAAATATTAACCCTATGCAGGCCTTTTGGGATCTTTTGGACCCCAGGCCATTTGGTTTAGGTGACAGGTATGTTTTTTGTTGTTGTTGTTTTTTAGGATAAAAAGATGGACATTTGTCAGGCATTTGAAACCAAAAATATGTCAACTTATCAGAAAATATATTTAACAAAGTATAAAAGTCTAGAATGAAAACCAACAAATATTTTGCACATATTCTTTCTTGGGGTCCAATGGACCCTGAAAGACCTTCTACGTATGGCAACATGAAAGTCCTGAACAGGGTTAAACAAAATCTAAGCTTAGTATCATTCAGCAAAATCACTTTATTCTACTTGTCCTATGTCAAATTTAGCCCAAAATAAATAATTTGCAAGAACAGATGGAAAATTCTGCTCTTCATGGCTCAATTGTGAAGCTATTAGTGGCTCAGTTGCGACCAACATTCACATTATGAAGATTCAGTGACTGTTCGGCTGAACATCACACATCACACATGGAAGAAAAACAAATTCAAATTGTAAATACTCACATATCTATACTATGTGGAGTTTTATATTTTTCAGCATTGGTAACACTTGGTGGGCACTTCAAAAAAAATACAGTGCATGTCAATTTCTTTTTTTTTTTTTTTTTTACTTTTGAAAAATAAACTATCAAAGATATTGAAATATTATTGAAAGACATTTCTAAGTTCTCTCTACTTCTAGCCATGGCTGTGCTGTTTCCATCAAGGTGCAGGACTTTATATTACAGTGATAAAATGAGTCTCCAGTTAGTAAAAATGTGACAACAGCAATAAATGCCCCGAAACTACTTCGAGATCAGAGGTTCAATGTAAAATTATTCCAAATTAAGAAGCAGTTTTTGCTGATCTGTCTGCAGAACATTCAACTCTTAAGAGTTCATGATGTGTCTAGCGTGCAGAGCGTGTCGGCCTGTAGCCGTGGAGGTGTGCTTAAAGGTCAGATCACCTAAAGTAAGCAGGCTAAACGAGCTTTACATTAAAGGAGGATTTTTGTCTAATCAGGAAGTGTTTCTGAGCTCAGTCAATCAAGTTAACTGAGCCAAGTGTTTGATGGCATGAAAAAAGCACACGCTGCACCACAAGACAAAACCAACTAACAGTTCTCTCCCTGTGATTATAAAGTACATGCAGAGTTCAGGGCTAGACCTAAGAAGCTGTCTGTGTGGAAGACGGGTGACGGGTGTAAAAGCAGTGAAACGCTCACAGTGATGAAGTCTCCGCCTCTGCAGTCGATGTCAACACTGTCATAATCCACACTGATCACTTCGTTGGGCTCTGCCATGAAGAACGCAGCACAGCTGAGCTGAGGACGCTCTGCTGTGAAGGTGAACTGACCCTCCACCGCGACCATGTCCAGGCAGCCTGGGAGACATGAAGGCATTTCTACAGTTACAGCTTACATGTGCACGTGGAACCACCTCAAAATAAATGCACAAGATGTGTTTGAATTTTGTTTAATCAGTGATTTTTAAAGATGTAATTACATTGCACACTTAAAAAAGTCTGTTTTAAAGAAATTTTGCTTTTTATTTTACAGATTGTTTTATTACGTGAAAAATTATATTATTTTATTGAATTTCCCTTCTGGGATAAATAAAGTATTTTTCATTTCAATTCATTTCATTGCACAACAATATCAAGAAAATTTCAAAAATACAGATTTTTTTTCTAATGTGAAATAACATCTAAATAACCACAAACTGCTCATTTTTACATGGAATTTTAGACATCGAATGACTGTTTCAACACATTTGCAAATTTATCATGAATTCACAAATATGATGTGATTATGTCTTAGATGAAGCTGTTCAATTCAAGTTTAAGCCTGTATGTTTTATCTAACTATTGACTGTTAACAGAACAGAAGTGTTGGTTCTGTAACATTACACAGATTGGTTTAGAAAATGAGCAGCATCTTGTATAATTATGAACACTTTCACAACTAAAATGTTATATAAGTATCTTTTCTTGTCATTTATTTTTTATTGTAGTTTTAAATAAATACTTTTAATTTTATTATATATTTTTTACTTCAACTTCTTTAAGACTTTTGATTGGGAGCATCTGCAACTAAAAGCAGCTTCCCCTGGGGGATCAATAAAGTATTTCTGATTCTGATTCTGATTTTCATCAGTGCATAACATCAATAAGCGTTGATAATAAGTCGAAATAGGATTTGAAAAAAGAAAAAAATCAGTGTATCCATTGTAGATGCATTTTTTTAGGGTACAAAAATATTTCTTAATGACTTATTTTTGTTACATTTCTTCAGTTTTCATGCTGGGTTAATACAACGATGTTAAATCTTAATAGAAAGAAAACAGGCTGAGAAATGATTTACAAAAGTTAAATAAAACGCAAATGACTATTTTTATATTCGAACACACTTAAAAGCTGTTCAACCAGTCAGTTATATTGATTACAAGTTGTGGATGTGACGTGACTTACGTAAAGGTCGACGGTACATCAGCTCCTCAGGTGTTTCTCTCTTGAGCTCCGAGTTGAAAAACGAGTATAATTCATCTTTTGAGATTTCGTTGTTCTGCAGGAGACAGAAAAGAGATGAGTGAGCAAAGTTTACCAGACAGCTGTGACTCTTTACAGAAGGGAACATGAGGAAAGTTTCAGTCCACCTACCTCAATATATCTGGAGTCTCCTTTGAGGACAGACAGACACAAGACCAGGAAGAAAAGCTGCTCTCGGAAGGTGCGCTCCATTACGCGCATTTCTGTCTGCAAGGCGCACCTGAGCGGAGAAAGTGTGAGCTGCTCTGCGGCCGGAGCTGCTTCTTATAGGAGCAGATTCTGTGTGACATGGTCGCTGTCACCCACCGTGGACGCCCTCCCTCCTGGACCATTGCGTGGTTGTGACGAGAGCAAGGATGGGCGAGAGAGAGAGAGAGAGAGAGAGAGAGAGAGAGGTGGGGGAGAGGGGGGAGATGGGCAGCTGATAGCGACAGGAGCGGACATGAATCAAGCTGCCTCAGGTACCTGCTGCAGCCCTGCTGTCCAGCAGTGGAGCCTCTACAGAGTTTCCTTTTTTTCCTATAGAGATGAACAGATGAACAATCTGGAGATGGCACAGCAACACCAAGAGTCAGGATTTCTGTCACTGGTGCAAACATCCTGCTATGAAACACAAAACTCAAAAAATTAAAAAGAAAATTTAACAAAAAAGTCTGCATGACAACAATATTTTGACTTTGCTAAGTGGACTTGTAATAATATCCAGTTGGATGGAGCTCAGGATTCACATGTAACTGATGACTTACCTGCTGTGGCTGTGACAGCTCACCTGTCTGCAGTCAGAGCAGCACACAGTGTCAGTGCTGTATCAATGTCTCCATGTCTGAGATTATGTGTAATTATAAGTAATTAGTGATGTAATGGTTGTGTTTGTTGAGCATAGATGATCACACCTCTCTCTCTTTGGAGATGCTGATATAAACCCTATTGCTGTCTGATGCTGAAAATATTTAATAAACTTCGTGGAGAGAATCCTACAAACAGCTGGAAGCAACAAACTGAAGTTTAACATCAAGTCATTGCTTTTTCCCTAACTGGTTGGAAAGAAAAATCAATCTCATTCTCATTAAGCAGTGGGGTGTGAGGATGCTCATAAAACTCTCTGTGTCTATAAAAGCACAATATACATAATCATTATGAAACTGAATGTTCTCCTCTTGGGGCTGCAGTGGTTTGGTAGCTAGCACTGTCGCCTCACAGCTAGAAGGTTCCCTGTTCGCGTCCTAGGCCTTACTTTGTGGAGTTTGCATGTTCTTTCTGTGCTACAGTCCAAAAACATGCTGAGGTTAACTGGTGATTCTATATTGTCTGTGGGTGTGAATGTGAGTGTGCTTGGTTGTCTGTCTCTAAGTGTAGCCCTGTGATAGACTGGTGACCTGTCCAGGGTGTCCCCTGTCTTCACCTTAAGACAACTGGGATAGACTCCAGCCCCTCGTAACCCGAGTGAGGATTAAGCGGTGTATAGATAATGAATGGATGGATGTATTTACTCCTCCTTAACCCTCTTAACTCCAAGCAGTTTCTGGCCATTTTTTGCTCCTGTCCTATTTCTCCTCACTGTTGATTCATTTTTCACTGCAGTATAAAGTCACAACTATGACTAGAAGGAGAGAGAACTTATAACAGTTATAATGCCACAAATTAATTTTTTTTTTTAAAACAATGCCACAAATTCAATTTTTTTTTTTTTAAATCAACAGTTTAATTTCTTTGATTGCTCATTTTTTCACAAAAAAAAAGATAAAACCTGCAATCTATATGAACATTTTTGCCCACAAGCGCCCACAAGTATTATTAATACTGTAAAAAGGTAGCTATACAAACTCTAGATATTTAATTATTTCCATTTTTAATTACTTTCCATAGTTGTCTTCTATCTGTTCTATGTCAACGCAGCCTGCCGGTCAGCTGAAAAGTGAAGGAATGGCCAACGACTCCCTCGTTGTGCCAAGATTTTTTTTTGTTTTTTACATAGTCCAGTTGGAGCAAGCAGCTTATTTTGGCAAAGTTTTAAATGAGATGTGTAAAACAAAGTCATTGTTGAGTGAATGCAACGGTTTTACACCGAAACTTGGTTCATTTTTGGGGATAGAGCCACACATCGTGCATGAGTAGGTGAGGGGCCTCAAATCTTGAAAATCCAAAGATTCTGTCTGGTGTACAGATTTTTTAGTGACAAAATGTCTTTCAAACCCATAAGTGGTTTTGGAAATCAGAGGGTTAAAGTACACAGTTGTGGCTTTCCATTTCCGTAACAGCTGCTTATAGTATGCAGCTATCATGTAATTTGTGTAATTAACCAACGACATGGGCAGAGGGAGACCTGCAGCTTGAATACATCTGATGTACTGGAGCACCAGGAGACCATACATACAAGACAGGGGTGAAAAGAGGAGGTGTGGATAGATGGGGGATGGAGACAGAGGGTGATGCTCGGTATCGGTTTAGCTGTCTAATAGAGAAATTGAATGACGGAAAGTTTCCATTCACACAACAGTCTTACTCATGTAACAACCTGCTGTGATATACGCAGCATTTACCTCACACCTCATTCACCGAGCTGCGTTCACGCCTGCCTTGTGTGATGCGTTCATAACAAACCCAGAGGCCAGAAGGTGAGGAAACTCCAGTCAAACCTGTGTGAACACCAAACAAACACCACTGAACTATTATGACTATATTATAACTAATTTTACCGCGCGTTTGTATCCAGCAGGAGTTAATACGGTGAACAACAACAGTGAGGACATCTCTGTGCAATATCACTTAAATGTCAAGTGATTCTAAATTGTGTTACCTTTCTGTAATTGAACTTCTTTTAAGCGGAACAGTAGGAAATTTGCTCTTCTGTAAAATTAAACATACAATATTAAAGATATTTGGAGTTTCTATTGTGAGACTCCACAACAGAAACTCCAAACAAAAGCACTTTCCAAGATTTACATTTCACACATATTTTTTAATTCGTCATCTTCTACAGTTTCATTTGGCAGATGCTTTTATCCACAGTGACGTACATCGGAGAGCAGATACAACACAAGCAAGGATCTAGTCAGGAGGAAACAATCTGGATAAGTGCCACATGTCAACCTTTATTTTTGATGTCAGACTCAATCTTTCATGGACGAAACCATATTTGCACAAGGTTCTGGAGAAATGTTCTGTCATTATGCAGATGTGTTTTGTCTCCAGCTGTTCCTTGCTGAAAAGGTTGTGTTCCTTTCCCTTGTCAACGTCAAAGTATTTTGGTATATCTACAAGCATTTATAGTACCATCTATACATTTCATCCCTCCAACACCTTTTGCCCTTATTCAGCCCCATATCATCACACCTCCACTTATGTGCTTTACTGTCAGGACTATGCATTCACTGTGGTGACCATGTTCACCTCCAACATGCTCAGCCCCATCTGAGCTGAGTGTCTTGGTTTCATCTGACCAAAGAAGGTGCTCCAACATTCATTGTTATGCTGTTTTGCAAAGTTTTATCTTACAGTTTTGTGCTGAACAGCAAGCAAGGATGTTTTTTTTTCGATGTCGCCAGTAAAGGTTGACATTATGCACCATTCTTCTCACTGTTTGAGTTGTTCCCAAAAATCAGAGATCCTAAAAGTAGCACATTGTCCATCGTGTCATTTTAGAAGGTCCACCTCTGCAGCTCTGATCAGTGGTACTACGGCTTGTTTTGTATCTCCTGCTACAGCTGTGTTTCAGCTAATGTTTAGATGGTTACTTCCTGTGCACTTCTCACAATCAGATTTTGAAGTCCCTCTGACAATTGTGGGGCGATGATGCAGACATGCAACTAAGAAAGAACTAAGAAAGTTCTGGTGTTTACAAGTCAGTTTATAACCATGTTCATACATAATTTGGTTTCAGTGATCACAGATTTTCTAATATGTGTGGCAGTGACGTTAAGTGTATTTACTTTTGTTTCACCGAGTTTCTATTTAGGGGCCTGTGTTTATAGTATATTCAGAATCATTTGACATGAAGTGATGTTGATGTGATGAAAACATACACGGCCAGTTGTGAACAAAATCCAAATGAAACCACAACACTGAACATGTTGCATGCCAAATTCTGCACATAATTAGTTGTTGATTATGTTCTAGACAAAATGAAAAGTATTTTCTGTCATCACACTAATGAGATTTATAATTGTGTTGCTGTCACACATCTGGTTCTTTTTTCAAAACTATGTCACAACATCTGTAAAATACAACAACTTGCTTGTTTTCCAGGCAGAGAAAACTAATCAACAGTCAAGTTAAATGAGTAAAATACGTGACCGCTGAAAAGTTTCAGGTTGTTTTCACAGACTTTTTTGAAAGTCAAGGACACTGAGTGCTTGTCTTCCACCTGTCTGAGCTCAGTCCCCGAGGTTTGCAGGAGCCTCAGGCTGTTGAAAATGTCACTCTATTCAAATGCTTTAAAAACCGGGCCTCGGTGTAATCCACACTCTAAACAACATGTTTGCTTCACCAAGATAAGCAGTGTGTCCCAGGGTATATTTAAACCTGACATATCAGAAATGGGAAAATCCATTAAAATATTTTAATTCACTGAGAACGAAGACAGAGTTTTGTCTATGCTGTATATTTTTTTATACTTATTGTGCTACGTTAAAGTAGCACAATAAGTTTTGTCTTGCATTTGCATGTGTCTTCAGGGAAGGTGCAATTCTGTATTCATTATTTAAAACATACAGACCCTTTTAGCCACAAGCACACAATTAAATACTAATCAAACCAAGCCTGCATCTACACCAAAATGTATTGATTTTAAGATGAATAGCTTCTGCTGTTCCTAGCGTCTACAATACTCTAGTGGCTTAGGATGCCTAAATGGAAATATTTGGGCTACAGGAAGACATGTAGAGTACCTGTAATTGTTGCAATTGTTGCCACCACATAAGACGAAACAAATAATCTGTTTGAACACAAGAATTACGTGTAACAAATCCAAATCTCAATGACATCCAAAGAAAAAAAATATTTTGTTACACCATGCAGCAAGGTTCCTAGCATTTTTTAAAAACCTTTTTTAAATTTATTTTTCTTTACAGACACCCTTGTTTGCCCTCTGATTAAGTCCTAACTGTTGCTACATGTCCTTCTTTGATTTGTCAGATGTCTGTCACCTGAGCATTTAAGGGAAGACATCAGCCTTGATGGTTAATTGAACATGGGTAGTGCTT